CCCTGGGAGCCCCCCCCTTCCTTTGACCTGACTAGAATGCATGAGGCATAAGAACTAACTTGGCATAGGGTGGGTACCAAAAAAAAGTAGTAAGCTGATGAGCGCTATGTACCGATCGAAGACACCCCAGCGGCAATAACTACGCATCAGCAGCCGGAAGTAGCCTGGTCAGTGGTAGGCCGTTTACTGTAGGGTTGCATCACCACCTGTTAGATTACTTCAACTTGGCGGGCTGCTCTTTGTAATTCCAGGCGACTATAGTGGCGCAAAAGAGACTGAGGCTCATTATGCGGGGTTACATTCGTCCCTGAGAAAAATGGCTGTATGGTCACCAATGAAGGTACAGAGCCCGGGAGGACGTTTCAACCCCATCCTGTAGAACGTTCGCGTCGAGCACGCAGCTTGGCAAGGGCTTCCAAGGGGGTGGCGTAAATGTATGGCGATCCTTGAGCTCTGCGCTGTTTACGTTGGGAAGTAGGGGGTGCTCGTCGGGCTAGGGTTAGGGCATGGCTACTTGCAGTATGTTTGAGGGTGTCTACGTATGCATTGTGCGCCGCGCACAGAGGGGTGACTTTGAACCATGTCTGCTCAAAGTACAGCTGATGCTTGGAAAGAACGTCCTTCTCGATCTGCCTCAACAATTGTTCAGGAGGCGGGGGAGCAACTAAGAAGCCATCATGCAGCCAGATCAAGGAGTGTGTTGGGTGGCGAGCAATGAGTGCACGAATAGTGTCCTCGACAATTGTGGCTTCGAAGTACTCTAGCAATCGAAAGGCGCTGTCATTGTGGTTGACCAGGAACTCTGGGCGAAACCGCGGTAACAGCTGCGTAGTCAGGGTTGTACTTAGAGAGCTTAGTTGGCACAGAATTGCGTTTACACTCGCACTGGGGGAGCCGTCGACCAGAGAGCCTAGGTATCTGTATGTGGTATCAAGGGGACTATTAATAATTCTCAGTGGAAGTTGCTTGATGGTGTCGGGACAGATTGCTTCTACTTGCTGAATATAAGGGTCCCGGGCTAACTGCGCGCGGAACTCATCGATTGTTGGGAGGGGGACAAAGTCGGGCGCAAACAGTAATCCCAGGCGTCGGACCAATTCATAAAAGGATCCTTTGAGGTCAATTTCGCAGTGATTCCGCCCGAATAGTAAGATCCTGACAGTTCTCGGTAGCCGTTGGCCCCCTATGGTGCAGCAATACTTTCGTCCATGGTTGTCTGCAGCTTTCGGGGAGTAGTCGATATCAATACTGCAATTTTGCGGTAGGCATGGGGAAAGGTAGGATTCGATCAGCTGGCGGTGGTGGGGGTGGAGGGTCAGGTGTTTCCGGAGAAGGCCGTGGTCAACACTGGGTCTCTCAACTAGGGTAAGGGTGGGCTGGCTCCAGGGTGGTTCAAAACTTTGAATGTGGAAACCTCCGACCTGAAAGAGACCTGCAGGGAATGATGGCTTAATGGACACCGGTCCAGCATCCCTATTGAAAGCAGCGGGATCGCTCCTATATCTAGTCAACAGGAATTGGGTAGCTTGCCCTGCTAGGTCATCTGCAATGCCGTTAGCGACGCGAGGCAGGTATATGAAGAGGCTGTCCGGAAGGTGTAGACTCACGGCTGAACGAATGCTTTCCAGTGGTTGGTGCATGTCTATCCTTCGGAGACGGCCTGCAAATTGAAAGTATTTGATAACAGGAAGGATGTCACCTTGGATGACCACCTTGGGTGTGAAGCCGCGGCTTGATAAACTTTGCTTGACGACGACAGCCACCTCCTCAACCAGATATAAGCAGGCCATGATTTCTGCTTCTATATTGTCTGAACAATGAGGTAAGGCGACCGACCGACATGCAACAACTCGAGACCGACCCCCTTCTATTACATAGATAACGTATCCAGCGCCGCCTAAGGAGTCATCATGCATACAACTACCATCGAATTGACCTACGATCTGGATCACGGTTTCGGATGGTGCCTGGTCGGGAGAGGTTGCTAGGATCAACTCATTAGGACTGATGGGTTGAAGAGCAGTGACAGTGCAGACAGAATTAGGCGAACTGGGGCTGGCTGGGACAATTTTAGCATTGGGGCGGAATCCTGCCATCCGGGCCCCGGCTGGGGTAATGAGGCTGAGCCATGGATGTCCAAGTGGGAGCACCGCAATAGGTTGATCCGGGGCAATGAATGTCAACGCTGTGCAAACCAGATCAGGAAGTGCTGCTGAGTGAAGTGTAACTGCTTCATTGGCAGTAGTTTGCATGTGGCAGGGATGGTTCTGGTTGTTTGCGCCTGCATGCTGGGGTCTTATCGGTGACGCAGGCTCCGGAAGGAAACGAGTTGGTATCGCTTGCAGGGCATTATCATGCAGGCGGGTTAACCATTCGGGGACACTTAGGGGAACTGAGGATGGTGCATGTTGCATGCCTCCATGCTCAAGCAAGAGTCGGCGGAACTGATGCAAGATGTGGCTCGCGATTACACATCCAGCTGTGTTGACTCGGGCTAGTTGATCCAAAGATTTAACTGGAGTGGGAGTAGGTGAGAAGATGTTGGCAACAAGGACAGGCACAATGCAGAAACGAGCCCAATGCTGAGAGGAATTGTCCCCATAGCCACATGCTACGCAAGGGGGAAGATCTCGTGCCCGGTCACGCCATGAGGCAGGAATGGAAAAGGATCCCCGAGCCGACTCCGCGATGGCATGCCAGGGGGACGTGGTCGGGATCCCCCATCTCTCACTGCTGTGCAGGGTAGTGGCGTTGATACCATGGTCATGACAGCATTTTTCACAAGCGGGAGCAAAATTAAGTCCGAGTGGGTACAGTCGGGTGGGAACCCCACAGAGTTGGCATGGTTGCTCAGCCTGTAGCGAGCCTGCCAGTCGAAGCCGCAGACATTCATCATCATCCTCATTTACCGCCCACCGTAAGACCGCAAAGCGTGCAACCCCATTAACAGCGAGTTTAGGCACTGTGGCTAAATGAGTCAACCAAGCCCACGATACCCCGCCCGGAAGGAGCTGCGAACTTACTCTAGACTGTAAATATTGCAGTGCATGCACTTGGATGGCCTCGTACAGACTGAGTTTCAACTGGCGAAGGAATTGGAATTGTTTTTTTCTGGTATTCTGTCCTGCAAATATGCGTAGCAAGTTACCGACTGTGTCAATGCCTAGCAGGGGAGTCCATGTTCGGAATATGCGTTGGACAACTGCTCCTTGCCTTGTCCCTACATCCGGGTACCCCGGTGAGAGAAAGGCCGTAGAGCCATTCTGTCTCAGCCAATAGCCCAAACACGCTGCAGTGAGCGTGACAGCCGGGTCTAAAGCGGGAGCAATACCTAACCAACGGAATATATGTGGGAGATACCTTGCAGCAAGCCATGGTCTCCCAAGGATAAGTTTAGCAGAGCGTTGTTGGTATAAGTTAATGTCGTCCGGGGTAAAGCCAAAATATGTACTTTGGTAAATATTAAGGGACAGAATAAAACAGTTGTTGGCAAGGCTTCTTTGCACTACAGAGTGGGCAGGTGTGGCAAAAAGGGCTAGTCGTTGGTTGGCCTTAGTCATAGCTTTGGGATTAATGGCTTGTGTGCCTGTAAGCTCCTCTACTGGGGTCCACCCTTGATTACTACGGGTATATTTCCCATATAGGATTAGCCCCAGCGCAGTGGTTTTGCCTTCAATGAGGTGTGCTCCCCAGTCGGAGCGTTCTAGCGCATTTAGAGTACTATGGGAGGCAGGATGATTAACTAGAACACTGCACTTGTTGGAGCAGCCACACTGTACTAGGAAGAGTGGGTCAATTTTGGCTAGATGCTCTCCAGATAGAATGGAATCCACTTCTGCTGGGGTGAGGCACACAAACAAATTTGATCTGCACACAATGGTGGTGGTGCTATAACCGATCCTGTGAACCAAAGCTTGTCGTAGTGTAGCATATCCTGATAACCTTTGTGCCCAGTGCAGTGATGGGTATTGGTCGATCTGACCCGAGCAAGCTGCATGCATATTGATCCCACTGGTTCGCCAGCAGTGGTGTTCATCAATTTGAATGCCCGCGGATTTCAAACGAATGCAAGCTTGCCAGGCATGTGTAGTGTACTTGTTCACTAATGTTTTGGGAATGTAGAACTTCATCCTATGATGGGCTACATTTTGGCTCAAGTTGACATTCCCTGTTTGAAGGGATTTTTGTTTTTATTTTCAGCTTTGTTCGCGTTCATGCTTGTTTTCAGCTTCACATGTAGTCAACATTGAACTTTTTCATTCGCGTTTTTTTACAGGGCATTTGCTCATACAACAGACTGGCAGATCAAACTCAAACATTTTGGTTGTCATTTGCTTTCATTCATCTCCGGCCGGACCCGGGCGCACATGGTGAGCCATCTGTGGTGGGCTCTAATTTTCAGTACTGCCTGTGACAGTTGTCAGATTTCTTGCAATCCAGATTTCATTGATTCAACTTTTTTCGGGGACCTGGTTCGACGTCGCTTTGAGTGCAGTGCAGACCTCAGTACATCATTTTCAAAATTTTTCGTTGCGCAGATGGATGTGGACATCGATGACTGGACCTTGATTTCCAACCCATGTCCCAAGAGTCGACCAGCACCGAAACCAGTTCCAAGTTTTCATTTTCGTCATGCTGCCAGTTTGTCACAGCCACTGTCAAAAGGGGGCAAAGAAGTTCCCAAATTCGAACGGCCGAATCCTTACCCAGTTTTGCAGTCGCCTAGGCGTTCAAATGACATGACAGTTTCTGGCATACCTGATATTTCAAGTGTAGATGTCAAGATGTCCAAACCTGTGTTTTTGCCGGCGCAAGCACCTCGTGGTTCGTCAGCGCCTCAAAGAACTCGTGTTCAAGGTATCTCTGTCGATCTGCAACGCCGTTGGATAGCACTGGTCCACAGCATTGGCAATTTGTCACAAGTTTGGAGTGACTTTCAGGGTTCAACTCATTTTGAATCACATTGCCTTCGTTTGCTTGACAAATTTTCGAATTCCACAATGTTCAAGTACATTGGTACATTGCAGTGTGTCCACAACATTCTACAGGAGTTCTCATTGACCTGGCAGGCCATCGGGACATACAAATTGTCCGACTTGCTGCAAATCACGCACGAGGGGCGCCAGACAGATTGGGGATTTGGCGCATCAGCAGCCATCAAAGCGTTGCGTTGGTTACAGAAAACTTTACAAATTCCGGCTTGGAGTACTTTGCATGGACCAGTTGTCAATTCATTTTTGAATCCAAAAATTCATGAACGTAAGGAAGCCATTCCTTTGAGCCTATTCATCGTCACACAGTGGGAACGACGATTACTGATGAAGGACTGTCCTTTACAGGATCAGGTCGTTCTGGGTGGCTTCCTTTGTATGCTGTGGGCAGGCCTGAGATTCTCAGATGGACAGCGCATCAACTTGCAATCATTATCATGGTGCATCACGGCACTGCGTGGCTCATGCTTTCAGACTAAAACAACTAAATCCGGCCAACCTTGGGCCCTGCAGGCGAGGGGTTTCCTGTCTCGAGGCGATTGGTCATGGACAGCTCAGTGGTTGGTGGCGCTGGATACCATTTGGGGACCTATGCACAACGCTCAGACTGCCGGTGATTTTTTGCTTCCCATGACATTGGACACTGGATTTGTGCAGCCTATGATTCCCATGAGTTACTCTCAAGCATTGAAGTGGATGCGATTTATGTGCACACTGCCCTGGAAACTTTCAGACACACCACTGTCTGCCAATCCAAATGATTACACGTTGCATTCATTGAAGACCACTACTTTGTCTTGGTCCAATCAGTTGGCCCAGCAGGGCCTCGTGACGGAGGAGCAGCGACACCTCCAAGGCCACCATCGACGTGGCAGCATGCGCCTCTACAGCCGGGATGACACCGCCGGCCAGCTGGCACTGCAGGACACCCTCATCACCCAAGTGCAATCTGGATATCGATTTGTGACACCGTTGCATCGTAGATCACAGCAACCGATCCGTGAACCCCCAGTCAAATTAGAAAGCTTTGCCAAGTCATACCAAGAGCACCGATGGACATTTTTTCCATTCAACAATGCTGTCAAAGACCCTCTGTTGAAAGGTCAGCCAACGGCACTTGCCACCATTGACTCAGGGGATGAGATCACGGTGGAAAGCGACTCGTCATCATCCTCCTCATCATCGAGCTCATCAGATTCACCTCGGAAAGTATCGAACAACATGACCCTGCTTGGACCTCCGGAGGAACTGGTTGTTGCCCGCTTTACAAAAATTCAACACATCATGCTTCACTGTGATGATCAACAACAGCCGGTTTGGGAAGGTGTGCATTATAGGGCAGCTTGTGGGGCTCGTTTACCCCGAGACCATTGTCATTTTGACACTCAGCTCCAACCATCATACAGCATTTGTCGACATGCAGCCTGCTGCAACCGTTGGCAACAAGTTTCAACCGATTCCTAATGAATCATTACTTCACTGCGGGGCGCCGAGCTTGCTGAAATGTGCAATTGACTGAGCAGCCATTGTTTTTCCACATACTCAGTTAAGGCATCGAACTTAACCTCCATGCAGATGTGGCTCCAGGCTCCAACATCGATTCACTCAAGGCACGTGATATTGGATCAACATTGAAAATGTTTACATTTTTAAGGCATTTGCATCAATCCAGGTTCAATCTTGGTTCAAAGTGTCTTCACAAATTTTCAGCAGCAATGCGTTCATCCATTTGCTTTGATTGGCATGTTGCCATCGCGTCGGCCTGGGGTCAGCGTAGGTCCACACAACCTTCCAAACTTATTAACAGTCCTTTTCTTTCCCCATACTCAATTTATGTCCCTCACATGAATCTTTTTTGATCGCATGATGAGAACTTCCATTTATACCAATCCATATGAATACACTGCCCACGTGTTCAATCATAATGCAGTTATGAATTATAATTTTTCGGTGGACGCTTCATCCAATGCGTTTGGCGTAGTCTCCTGTGGAGACAACATGGCTTTACCTGCGTTTGAAGACGTTTTGTCTGAATGTGGGGTTGACCCAACATTGGCTTCGCAGCTGGTGCAGGAGGGATGGACATCCCAAAATTTCGCAATGGTAGTTAATTCCAAAGAAGAGTTCAATGAAGGCATTTGGGACCAGTTGTGCAATTCACCAATTTCTTTGGTGCAGCGTTCAAACCTGAAAGTGGCTTGGCAACAGTTGCAACCTGACTCTACTAGTACCAGTCGGGACTCTAACATTGCTGGCATGCCGACAGCATCAGCTCCTGAAGGATCATGGTCTGAATCTTTCGCCCCCAAGCTTCAGGCGAACACAGTTTCGAAATTGAAGAAACAATTTTTGGAAGACTATCCATCAGAGGTCCTTAGCCCAGACACGATGCCCAGTTCTCGCTTGCTTTCAATGGCGTTTCAGCATCATAGCAAACGTGAGTATCCATGGATCCCTTGGCGTTATCGAATGTCACAATCCAAAATGGATGATATGGTGATTTACCATAAGCCCAAAGTCCCCCGCATTGAGGGTCTTCAATTACACCAGTTGTTGCTGGACGAACCTCCGGCCTTGGACATCAACAACACTGGGATGGGCGTGAACGCAATCCGCAACATGATGGATATTCACAACACTGCGATGGCATTAGTGGGAGCATGTCATCTCCAACGATTGCGGGCATACTCATTACGCTTCATGAGCTTCTTGACCCAGCGTTTGGACGGAGATTCTGGACTCCGGACGCCGAACGTACTGGAGGCACAGGCAGCAGACAAACAACTATGGAATCTGATTCACGAATTGGTGTTGGATCAAGGATTTACATTGGACAACGCCTTACATGAGGTGACTCACCTGAGGGCGGACATGGCCTCCCTTTTGCAGCCAAGAGCCAAGGTCACCTCACGACCTATGGGTTCAACCTCATCTTCGGCCTCGACCACTACAGCCCCCAAGGGCAAGAGTAAGGGAAAAGGCAAATCCAAATCCATTGGCAAGAACACCAGAGGCGAAGCTCAAGGACGACCAACTTGGGTGACAGAAGCAACGATTCAGGGCAAGAAGCAGCAGCTCTGTATGCAATTCCAATCTGGTCGCTGTCAGAAGGGTGATCTCTGCAAGTTTGGCCACTTCTGTGCCTATCCGCTTGCTTCTGGACAAGCTTGCGGCCAAGCCCATAGCGCATTTGCTCATCAACAACAACCCCACTGACTTGCGGCTTCCGATGCACAGACCACAGCGACCAGCATGGATCTCAGCGATGACAAGGAGGGCGAAATTTTTTCACCCCCAACCATCTCACCATCTCCTCAAGCCCAAGCTTTGGAGACTGTTTCACATACAGAGGAGGTTATCCCACCATCTGTTTCAAACAATGTGGATTTCTCCTATTTACAAGGTTCTCGAATTTTTCTGGACCTATGCTCTGGAGCCGGACATCCTCTGACATCAGCGATGCTACAGCGTAATTGCATTTGCTTTCCAGTTGACAAATTGATTTGTGATGACATGGATATTTTGAATAACTCATTCTTTGAACCTTTGTTGCGTGTATGCTCATCTGGATGCGTGGGTTATGCAGGGGCCGCCCCAAACTGTGGTGAGTACAGCCGACTCAAACTGAAGCCTCATGGACCACCAGCATTGCGGACACCTGAGTTTATGCAAGGCCTTCCTGGTCTCACTCCAGCCCAACTTGACCGAGTCCAAGCGAGCTATGAACTGATGACCCGATGCGTTTTGTGCTTGGAATTGGTTTACTCTGCAGGTGGACATGTCCACCTTGAACAACCGACGAACTCTATGGCATGGCTGGAGGCGGAGGTTCGGCGATTCATAAAATTTTGTGCTATATTTTTGGTAAATTTTCCTGCTTGTGCTTTCTCGCGGAATTGGAATAAGAGTTGGTTGTTGGCATGTTCATATCCAGCTTTAAAATCCTTAGGATCCATTTGCAATCACCCCAAAGACTCCCATGAACCCATTTCTGGCGTTCGACATGCGGATGGAACCTTTAAGAGCCGCGACACTGCTGAATACCCGGAACCAATGTGTGCGGCGATTGCCAACTTGATTGCACCACTCTGCGCTTCTGACACTGGTCACCAACTGACATGGACAACAGTACAACAATGCATCCCTGTGAAGGGTTCTTGTGATTTTCCGGTGAGTTATGAAGATGGTGGTGGCCTCAACTCTGAACCCGATTGGAGTCGTCCACATCGGGCTACTCCTGACAGCTTGAAGCAACTTCGACAAGACTGGGTTCAATTGATCCTTCACAATGGGATGCTGGACAAAATGCAAGCGTTTTTTCGGGCCCATGAAGCCCAACCACCCTTTTCTGCAGAAGACTTGGCTCCATTTCGACACTCCATGGAACGTTTTATACAATCTCATGGCATGATTGCAGACTGGAGCATTCGCATGGACCAACCCATGCACCTTGAGATTATGGCGGCCATTTCAAGAATTATGCAAGACAAGGACAATTCCCTGTTTGATATGTTACGACATGGAGCTCCGACAGGAATCCAATCGGATATCCCACCTTCAACCATTTTTCCTCGTGCCGAAGACAAAGCAGATGATTCCATCCCTTTATCCATCCACATGACGAACTGGCAATCTGCAGAATCAGACTTGGAGACCACTCGTGATTTGGTCAACCAAGAGCTGGAAAAGGGATGGATCTACGAGTACCATGGCACCTTGGCCGATGCACAAGCAGAATTTGGGGACAAGTTAGCCATTGGACGTCTCGGCCTTGCTCTCAGCGATCATCGGCCCCCTCGATTAGTTGTTGACTCATCAATATGCGGCCTAAACAGTCGGTGCTCCATACCGGAGCGCACGACATTGCCGAGTGCATTGGACGTTATGCGGGTATACCCATTGAGGGAAACCCAAGAACAATTGGTGGGATTTTCGCTCGACATCAAATCCGCCCACAAGCTTGTTGTCATTCGAACAGAAGAACGCGGCCTATTAGGCTTTACACTCGATAACAAGATATACTTTTACAAAGTAGCCCCCTTCGGCGCTACCTTTAGCGCATATCACTGGACACGTGTGGGGAGCTTTATATTGAGGTTTTTCCACCACCTCCTGTGGTGGATCCACGCCGGATTCCTGTACGTTGATGACTACTTATTCCTTTTTCCTCAATCAGTAGCATTGATCATGGCTTGTGAGCTCTGCATAGCTTCACAAATTTTGAACATTCCTATCTCCTGGCGGAAATCTGAATTTGGTGCTCGGATTCACTGGATTGGCTGGCAATTTGAGATTACATCTGGGTACATAGACCTACCTCTTGTGAAACTGGAAAAACTGCGCAACTACATCACACAGATGATACGATCTTCTCGTACCTCAAAGAAGGCATTGGAGAAGTTGGTTGGGCTACTGAATTGGGTGACTCAGATTTTTCTGCTCATGCGATGCTGGCTTCCAATATTATACAAGGACCTTTTCCATGTTCCTGCAAGTCATTTTAGCATCGACCCAGGCCATTGGCGTAATGTCATGGCTTGTCTGGACAATGATTTGAAATTTACCAGTACACCCACAGGCACTGGTATACCTGTAGGCAGCACTTTGTTGGCCATTCGCCATCAAAACGTTTCCTCCCTGTCGGATCTCAACAATATTTATCTTTCTGAAAGACGCACATGGCTTCGCATTCGAGATATGCAATCGTCAAAGCGATGCTTATCATCAGACTCCATACGGATTCTGCATATGTTTTCAGCCTGGTTACAGTCACTCTCCCTGGTGAAATGTCTCAGGCCAAAACAACTTTGGACTGGCGAGTGCGCAGCTGACGCATGTGCTCATGGCGATACTTGCCAAATCGGCGGATTCATTCGTTTTCCTTCTGGCACCGCAGTTTGGTTTAGTGAAACCTTTTCCTATGCAAAATTTGAATCCATGCATATTCCTGTCAGCAAAGAAATGCAGAAATGTATCGCTTGTTTTGAGACCTTGGCACAAATGGCAATACTTTTTATTTTCAGCCGCAGCTCCCCTGGATTTCGATATCCCTTACGTATACCTTCCTTGACTGATAACACTGGAGCAGAAGCGGGCGGCAACAAATTATTTTCGATGTCATCTCCGATGAACCTTTTTCTCGAAAAGCTGACTCTGTTATGTACCTTCTCCGGCATGGAACTTGACCTTTCTCATATTTCTGGCGAACGAAATGAAGAAGCAGATGCACTGAGTAGGTGGGACGAATCCACACCACCACCTTTTCAACACCTATTGCAAAATCGATTTCCACTTACACTGGAACAGCTGTGGCATCCAGAGACTTCAGTTGCGGTATATCCTCCAGAGACCTTTTTAGCTTGGCAACTCCCATAGAAACTGGACTGGGTAAAATTTTTACAAATCCACTCATCCCTCTATATATCTTTTCGACTGCTGGAATCCAACACATATATTGGGGCGTAATTGGCGTTTGTATCCCACCAGCCTGATAGATGAATTGGCAGAAAATAACCATCAGCCTGGCGTTTACACATTTGAACACGAAATGTGGTTCAAATGGATCCAAAGACAATTAACAATTCTGGCAGTCGAAAAAGAGATTAATATAAAGTGCGGTCTGTGAGATTCCGTCGTTTTGCGGTATTGCGTTTTCATTTATAGGTTTTGATTTATTTGAATAATAAATAAAAATTATATAGGGGAATGTCTACTTGAGCCAGAACGTGTAGTGTACTTGTTCACTAATGTTTTGGGAATGTAGAACTTCATCCTATGATGGGCTACATTTTGGCTCAAGTTGACATTCCCTGTTTGAAGGGATTTTTGTTTTCCCCCCACCCTCACCAATGATATTAAAGGGGTTTCGGGGACTATCTAACCTACACTCCCTTTTTCTATACCCGGTCCGGTTTTCAATTGCGTACTGGCAGTCGAAAAAGAGATTAATATAAAGTGCGGTCTGTGAGATTCCGTCGTTTTGCGGTATTGCGTTTTCATTTATAGGTTTTGATTTATTTGAATAATAAATAAAAATTATATAGGGGAATGTCTACTTGAGCCAGAACCCGTGAGCCATTGCATGCCAGCTGTGGTGTCTCCCACCATCGTGGTGTCATCAACATATCCTTGAACTGTAAGCATTCCGGGGATTCGGTTGAGGTAGGTTAAAACTGGGTCCATGGCCACGCAGAAAAGCAGAACTGAGAAAGACCGACCCATATCAACGCCCGTGACAATCATTTTTGAGGGCAGGAGCTTACCTTGGACCTTGTGCCTGCATCTTCGGAAGAGTAGGATGTGTCGAGTATACATGATGATCCACCAGGGGGCTTTACACGCTGATAAAATTTGCAGGATCCAGTAGGGGTTAATCCTCTCGAATGCTTTGGACAGGTCTAGGGATAGACATGCGCAGGGTGCATCTTGATCTAACACAGCTTGGACGGATTGGACAGCACTTTGGGGTTCGCGGAAGACATTCAGCACCGTTTGAGAGGGGTGGAGTAGCGGAGCAATGGCTTTAGTCATGACTGTTGCGATGCTTCCATCTATGACTCTCTCAAATGTCGATGGCATACCTAGTGGACGGAAATTATCAGCAGTGGGGCCCATTTTGGCTTTCGGGATCCATGCTTGGACTGAACAAGGAGGTGGAACTGCAGACCGACAAATGTCATTGAGATGCGTAACCATCGCCTCCGAAGACACTCCAGGATGGAGTCGCCATGCAGCATAGGGTATTCCATCTGGTCCTGGGGAGGAATCATTAGTGGCAAGGACAGTTCTGATTAGGTCTTCCGCACCGGGCGGGGGAACATGTGGCCAGGGCTGGATTTGCGCTTTATATTGATCCAGGTAGTCCGTCCACTCAGGATCATATTTGACAGGCGGCTGGAACCAGAACTTGCGGGTAGCAAGCATGGCTGCCGACAGGTCCAGATCAGTCCGGCACTGGTTGCCCTCGCCGTCCAGAATCGGACCATTATAAAATACAGTTCGCGGGCAACTAGCCCGAAGTCTCTGCCACAGGGGGGCATTGGTCCCAAGGCCACGACTTCGAGTAGTTTCGTCTCGATTCCTTGTGATAAGATGCTGTTGTTGTAGCTGCAGGTCAAGGAGCTCGAAACACTTCCAAAGGAAGGTACGAGGCACCGTAATTACCGTGGATGATTGGCAATATTCTTCTAAGGCAGGGCGGAAGCCTGGAAGGGCCG